CATTTTATTTTTCAGGATTCACAGATGAATATATAGTTCAAAAGAGCAGCATTTATTTGAAATAGAAACCTTTTGTAACATTATAAATGTCTTTACTGTCACTTTTGATTAATTTAATGCGTCATACTGACACAGAACTTTTCTCTCTCTCTCTGTGTGTGTGTGTGTTTGTGAGAGAGAAAGAGAGAGAGTGAGAGTGTGTGGATATGGGAGGAGATGTCAGTGCTAAAGGTCAGCATGTGCATGTTGGTGTCAGTATTTATTGACATCTCCTGCCATCACTCCATCTCTTCTCTTCTCATCCCTCTCTGTGACCAGACCCAACGCAGCAGACATGAAGCTGAAGCTGAAGCTCCCGAACCCGGGTCTGGACGAGCGGATCCCGTCTCACGCCGAGCTGGAGAAGCTGGAGCTGGAGGAGGGAGGCTGAGAAACAAGCCACACTCACAACATCAGAACAAGCGTATGCATCAGCAGGATCTATTACATTTTATGTATTTGAAGTGCATATAAAATGTTCGTGCATTTGGATGAAACAGTTTTAACATAAACTAATGAATGTGATGCATATTTGTCAGAAACGTAAGATTTCTGCACTCAGAATTCATGCCAATGCAATATGTGACCCTGGACCACAAAATCAGCCATAAGGGTAAATTTTTCGAAATTGAGATGTATACATCTTCTGAAAGCTGAATAAATAAGCTTTCCATTGATGTATGGTTTGTTAGGATAGGACAATATTTGGCCGAGATACAACTATTTGAAAATCTGGAATCTGAGGGTGCAAAAAAATCTAAATATTGAGAAAATCATCTTTAAAGTTGTTCAAATGAAGTTCTTAGCAGATTTAATAATGATAAATATATATAAAGCTTGTTATTGTGTATTTAAAAAACATTTACTTTATTAATACTATTACAGAAATCGGTTTCATTTATGACTGACAAATATGCATCACATTAAGTTGATTAATGTTACAATTTTTTATATGCAATTCAAACACACAAATCTTAAATTTATCAACATGATTCACTAACAAACCCACATGACATCTTTTAACAATCACGAATATAAAGTGTGTTTGTGCATCTTTATTTACTATAAATTACACTTGATTTGATGTATATCTAATATAATGACATAAAGACATTTATAAGGGTCAATAAAATGTTTTATGATTTTGCTAGTTTAAAGAAGTGGTGCATTAAAATATTTGATAGTTTGAAAAAAAAAAATGGCATGTCAATTTCGGAAATATATCAGTGTATTAAAAGCGATTTGTCCAAAAGTGTTTCTGAGAATAATCAAACTGTACAAACAATTAATGCTGCTGTGTTTAAAGATCAAAGATGAAAGTGATGTAATTCTGTGTTATTTTTATACGCATGTGATACAACCACAGAAAGATCACTATAAACGCCCTCATAAAACCCCAAACGGTTTATAATGGGCTGAAAGGAAGCACTTAAAATGATTATAGTTAAACATTAATTCAACATCAGCAGAGCAACAGATGCTTCCACCGTGAATGAAGCCTAGATTTACTGTGCTATTAAAACGGGATGGAAGTTTCCATTCAGAAAAGGTACGGTTTTTATGGTGTGGATTGGATTCAATACAGTTCACACACACACAAAAAATCACACTAAAGTATAAAAATGACATAAAATCAGTAAAACTTTAACATTTATTCTTCCCAAACATGATAACATGAATTAAAAACAAAACAAAACTGTATGCTTAAATTTTTTTTTTCCAATATTCAGTCAGAAATTGCTAGTAAATTTGACAAATAATTACAAAGAACAAAAAAAAAAAAAAACCCCGCAAAAATCATCAAACTTCAAGAAAAACATTTTCTCACATATCGATGCGGGTCAAACTGACCCAGAACATAACATAAGGGCTGGAGTTTCAGAAGACATCTCAACAATGTCTCAAACTGTGCATAGAAACTAAAGACTGCGATCAAAATTCAAAAGTCTTAACGTGATCTCAAACATTTCTCATCAAATGATCTGATCTCCACATTCTTTTTTTAATCTACTTTCATTTCTCCTGAGGATCTTTAGAAGAAACCTCTGAGATGCCAATGAAACAAAGTAACTGAGAAATCTGAGCTATGAAAAAGCAACATCTGACCAATGTTCCACAAGAACAGTTTCATAATGATCCTACATGAGCTGAATGAAAAGTTTCTTCAGAGGAGTGAATGTGCATCAGGTGTAAACCTCTCATTCTCCTAAAGCGCCCTTGTGTCCGCTCACCTTCACCTCAGGCTATCATCATGTGGACTTTCCAAGCTTTAGGCTGATAAGAGGCCGCATGCAGAGAGTCAAACTCTCAGATAAAGAGGCTGATATTTGCTGACATCACTTTGTTTGCAAAACAGCTGTTACAGAATGACACTGCAAAATACTGCGGGAAAAAGTTCTGAATGTTAAAGAGCACTTAAATGTACACTATATAATAATCTACATAATAATTAATGTAATATAGCACCATGGACAGCAAATTATATTAGGACCTAGAGGTTGGTTTGATGTTGCGATTTAATGGTTTAAAAGGTTGTAAAATGGTTTAAAATAAAATGTTATATAAATCAATGTGAATGATATATGAACAACAGTTCATACAGTAAAATCCTTCAGAATATAGATCGGAATAAAACTGCTCAGTTTGGTGTATGTAAGTGGAAGTGGAAAAACAAACTATTTAAGGAAATGCATTGTGATAGAAATCTACAGATGCAAATAGATAAAGTGCAATAATAAAACCAGGCAAAAACCCCTCAGTAAAACCCTTCAGAATATAGATGGGAATAAAGCTGTAAGTTTTAGTGTATGTAAGTGCTGCTAAAGTGGAGGAAAAACTCATTTGGAGAAAACGGTCTTTAAAGATACACATTGTAATTGAAATCTATAAACACAAATAAAGTGTAATAATAAAACCAGTGAATGAAATATGAATAAACCCCTCAGTAAAACCCTTCAGAATATAGATGGGAATAAAGCTGTGTGATGTTACTCATGTGGCTCTGTAGTTACCGGACTACATACAAAACAAACAAACAAACAAACAAAAAATCTGGAAATTAAAAGTAAAGCATGCCAAAAAATTTCTTTCTCATTCCATATTTTTATCTTATTTTCCAGTACAAATATCTGAATATTCTTAATGTAAATGTATCTTGATTTAAGTTTTTTTTTTAGATATTTGTAATGAAAAACAAAACAAAACTACGGCGTAAGAATATGTGACCCTGGAGCGCAAAAGCAGTCTTAAGTCGCTGGGGTATATTTGTAGCAATAGCCAAAAATACATTGTATGGGTCAAAATTATAGATTTTTCTTTTATGCCAAAAATCATTAGGATATTAAGTAAAGATCATGTTCCATGAAGATATTTTGTACATTTCCTACCGTAAATATATCAAAATTGAAATCTATAGACGCAAATAGATAAAGTGTAATAATAAAACCAGTGAATGAAATATGAACAAACCCCTCAGTAAAACCCTTCAGAATACAGATGGGAATAAAGCTGTAAGTTTTAGTGTATGTAAGTACTGCTGAAGTGGAGGAAAAACAAATTTTTAGAAAACGGTCTTTAAAGATACACATTGTAATTGAAATCTATAGACGCAAATAAAGTGTAATAATAAAACCAGTGAATGAAATATGAACAAACCCCTCAGTAAAACCCTTCAGAATATAGATGGGAATAAATCTGTACGTTTTAGTGTATGTAAGTGCTGCTGAAGTGGAGGAAAAACTCATTTTGAGAAAACAGCTTTTAAAGATATACATTGTAATTGAAATCTATAGACGCAAATAGATAAATATAGACGCAAATAAAGTGTAATAATAAAACCAGTGAATGAAATATGAACAAACCCCTCAGTAAAACCCTTCAGAATATAGATGGGAATAAAGCTGTAAGTTTTAGTGTATGTAAGTGCTGCTGAATTGGAGGAAAAACTCATTTTGAGAAAACGGCCTTTAAAGATATACATTGTAATTGAAATATATAGACAAAATAGATAAAGTGCAATAATAACACCAGGCACTGTAAACTTTAGTGCATGTAAGTGCTGCTGAAGTGCAGGAGAAAAAAAGTCATTTTGAGGAAATGGCTTTTAAAGTTGTATTGTAATTGAAATCTACAGACGCAAACAGATGCTGCTCCACAATTATTTTCGCTCTCTATATTCTTACTGTGGGTCAACTATTGACTAATTTCTTACTAGTTTTATTCCTTGAGAGGATCTTTAGGAGAAACATTTGAGATGTCAATGTTTTAAAACTGCTGTAAATGATTTAAAATGCTGTTTTAATGACAATCATGTGCTGTAAAAATAAATAAACAAGAGTTTGTGTTGCTGAAAATAAATGATCTCACCCTTTTTCAGGAGCGTTTATGATCCCGTTCCTGATTCTTCTGGTTCTGGAGGGAATCCCGCTGCTGCATCTGGAGTTTGCCATCGGTCAGAGACTCAGAAAAGGCAGCGTCGGTGTCTGGAGATCCATCAACCCGTATTTAGTTGGCGTAGGTGGGTAATTAAGGCAAAACACTACAGGTGAATAGGGTAAAAAATGTCAACTAAATAGATCTCACCATGCTTGCCCCAGTTGATTCACAGTATATTAAAACAATTATTTTGTATTACAAGTTTTCTGAGATACTATGTTCAAAATGCCAACATGAATATGTACTAATTTGCATACATTTAAAGAACAGAGACCTTAACATTGGTTCAAAATTCTTGCTTGATTTTGTTGTCATATTAGAGTTAAAGGGTTTTATAGAGGGGGTTTTGGATTTCTCTTTTTATCACTCCATAAATCAGAAAATAAAGTCAACAGACAGAAAAAAATACGATTTTACTGTGTTTTCAGGAAATGTTAGAAAAATCAGAGTGAATGATAAATGAACAAACCCCTCAGTAAAAACCTTCAGAATATAAATAGGAATAAAACTGTAAGTTTTGGTGTATGTAAGTGCTGCTGAAGTGGAGTTCTGAAGATCATGTGACACTGAAGACTGGAGTAATGATGATGGAAATTCAGCTTTGAATCACAGAAATAAATTATATTTTAAAGGATATTAAAATAGAAACCATTATTTTATATTGTAATAATATTTTGCAAGAGTACCGTTTTTTTCTGTATTTTTGATCAAATAAATGCAGCCTTGATGAGCAGAAGACAACATTACAAACATTTGACCAGTAGTGTATATATTTGTGAGAAATGTGACTATTGTCATGCAAAAAATGTCATGCAGCCCTTAAAAAATGGATACATTTTCTTTATGCTAAATATAATTTCTGGGCAGGTGTTGAGGGTCTGTGATGTTTCTATCTTGTCAGGCTGTGTACGTGACCTCCACGCTTCCGTACCTCGTCCTGACCATCTTCCTGATCAGAGGACTGACGCTCAAAGGCTCCGTCAGCGGAATCAAGTTCCTCTTCACTCCAGATGTAAGTCTGACACAAACACATCCAGCTGACTTCACTTCATGCAGCTCAGATGTTCTGCAGAGAAGAAAGCAAGCCATGCATGTTCAGAAAGACTCTTCATAATGCCGTCCACCAGTGCATAACTCCT